TCGAAAAAGATTGTTAGGAAGAACGTTCCAGCTGCATGTGTAGAAATATTGAAACTTAGAAGTTTGGTTTCAGCTACAGAGGTTGTTTCAAGTATTTCAAGAGGTTTAGTTCGAACCATCAAAAGAAGTGTACGAGATTTAACTTTACCTAAGAAGAATTATCAGTTGGTGATATCCAAGCCTATCATACGAATCCCTGTACCTGCTACCTGTTATACCACAGATAAGTTTTCAATAAATCATTTAAATTTGAATAAGTAAGTCTCTGTGAATTAGAATTTGTCGCTACCTTATCTAATACCTTATTTAATTATCATATCTAAATGGTTCGTGATTTTCTATATTTTATCACTACTCGATAATCAAGTTTAGTAAGTTTTAAATATAGTGGCTCTCAACATTCTTTTTCAAAGTAATACGAGTTGTTTAATAACCTGGCCCACTCCCCAAATAATAAGTGCTTAAAACACTACAAAAATAGATAAAATAACAAGATCATATTACAAATCCCATTCTGATTTGTTTTTACAGGGAAGTATAGGAAACATAACTGGGTTCGCAGATGACACAGCTACTTTCTATTCTGAGGATAGTTGGATTAACTTCAAAACTAAAGCATAACAAGACTTTCAAATTATTAAAAAATTTTGGGATAAAAAAATATTAACTGTAAATATAGAGGAAACACATTGTTTACCATTTAGCTGCAATTCATATGGTGCACCACCGTTTGATCACCTAAAAATTACTGATGGCGGAGACTCTTTTTTCATTTCAAATAAAAATAAAATTAAATACCTTGGAGTAATGATAGGCCCTTATTTAAAATTGAACCTACACATATCCTACACGGTAAATAAACTAGGTGGTATTTTGTACAAATTCAAATTTTTAAAAGATATTTTACACCGTCTTAAAACCTTTTATTGTGCTCTAGTTGAAAGGCATTTTCGGTATGCAATCACTGTGTGGGGTGTAGTTTTGAAAACACACCTTCACTCTTTAGAAGTCACACAAAGGCGATTTCTAAAGTTAATTTATTCAAAAAAATCTAGATATCCTACCGAATCAAAAATAATGGATCTAAGACAATTGTATTTTTTTGCTGTAGCAACAAATATCATATTCGTAAGCGTCAAGATCTAGTATATCATGAATATAATACTAGACAAAAATGTCGTTATTTAGCTCCATTGATGTTTAAAGTGGTTTCACAGAGATCATTTTCCTATTTCGCACCCAAACTGTACAATATAATTCCTAAGAGCATTCAAACTAAATCAAACTTGTATACTTTAAAAAAAAAAACTAAAACAATTTATTCTAGCTAACTCTCACATTATGATCCATGGTTGTTTTGAAAATTAAACATTATCCAAAAAAAATTATTGTGCAGGTTTTTAAGTTTTTAAGATTTTGGATTTTTGAGTCTTTTATAATAAAATAATAAAAAAAATATTAAAATTAAAAATTAAAAAATGCTAATCTAATTTATAGTACCTACATTATGTTATATTTTTAATTTATTTATGTTTAAATCGATTTTAGTAATTTATGTTACTTTTAAATATTATTTTATATAGATTTTAAATATATTTCTTTTATTTTTCCAAACAAGCGTTTAGACGCTTATCGAGTATATTTTACTCACAGATACCGTTTTTTAAATTTGTATAATAATACTTTGTAATTGTAATTATCAATGTATTTTTTTTGTGAATAAAAATTATTATTATTATTATTATTATTATATTAGTGAAATTTATTTTAATTTTGTTCTTGTGATTCTTTGTTTAATTAATAACATTAGTATCAAAATAATCTAATTGTTTTTGAATTTTATTAAATAGGTAATTGCTTTTTTTTAAATACTTACTTTATAACAGCATCATTTTCAAAAAAGTACCTTTTTGGTATAAAATTAAATGATGTTTGATTCCACAAAGAAATTGGACTAAAAAATGTAACTTCAAAAAATTTATGTTTAAAACTATGAGAGGCAGATATAAAAACAAATATATACGATGTGTCAGCTTTCAAAAAATATTCGTATAAAATTTCATTGGAATGTTGCCAGTAGTTTCGTCATAATCGTAAAAAATGTATAATTTTATTTCAATACTCTGTATCTTAAAAACGGATGCCGTTACGAAAATGTTTTACTAAACAAACCCAACTTATTTTGCATTGTTCTACCTATTCTAGCCCTAAGGCCATCTTTTTTAAAACACCCTGTACATAATGATGTCATTACTAGTTTTTAGTAATATCTATTGTAATAAAATAGTATATTATGCAACGATCATGTAATGATGGTTATTAATACACGAGCATTAACCGGGATACGAAACGAGCCAAAGGCGAGTTTCGTATGGTTTATGCGAGTGTTTTAATAACCATTACATGAGAGTTGCATACGCTATTTTTTCTACACCCGATAAATAATCAAGACCTATAAATATTATATTTATATTGGTATTGAACACAATAACAGTAATTACTCGTATTTCTATAAAAAATTCTACAAAATTGTAATTAATGGTATTACTTCAGGTATTGGTATTTCCCTAGATTTTTGCGGTAAAATATTTTGTACTGTATTTTCTGCTTTCTCCGATATGTGTGGAGGAGTCTTCTATATCGCTAATATCAGACATTTTAATATTATAATTATCGAAGTTTAGCTACCTACGAAAATTTAATACGTTTTGACAACTAAAATAATTACATAGGAACCTAGGACAAACGTCAAACAGCATGCTTGATTGAAAAATTGTAGGTTTCTATTGATTAAAAATCTGTATCGTAATGAAAAATCTGTATCATAATGGGTATCATTATGAAACGGATTATGGGCATATAAGTGCATTATTATAATACGGGTGTAGAAAAATATAATTATAGATATGAATTTATAAAATATCAAAAAATTATTTTAAAAAACCCTCATCGCGAGCCTGTTTACGAGCACAGTCAGGTTCTATCTGCGTGTATTTATTTTACTTTCCTTTAACTTGGATATAGTATAGTATATTTATATTTATCTAAAAATCTTAGAAATCATACTTACACGATCAGTTTTATAAAACTCTACTTCTATAAAAATTTTCTTCAAACCAAAATCATTGCGTGTTCATTGTTAGGGCGTATCAACAGTGAATTATAATGTAAGTATATAAAACAATAAAAAAGCAGAAGCGCTTATGAAAAAGGAAGAAAAGCTCGAAAATGAAACGAAATCAAATGATGAAACACCAAACAAACGAAAACTCGAAAAAATGGGTGTGATGTGAATTAAAGAGTGCTGAAGCTGGTATTAAGTGCTAAAGAATCAATAAATATGACCAGAAATATTTGTAAAATGTTTAAAAGTTTTTTATTATTGTACTATTAATTGCTTAGAATGACAAAGGTTATTATTAAATTGTAGTGTATTCCAAATTGAGTCCGAATTCGACATTTTAGCGTAACTAGTTCACATTTTTATAATCAATTTGTTAAAAAATTTGATATTTGATATTTGTACTAATTATTATAATCTACATATTCGTAATATGTAAAAATTTACGTTTAAAAAAAACAAAATTGAAGAATTCCTTGCGATACCGGAAATCGGCCATGTTGCATCTATTATTACACCATTAAATCGAAATTTGCTTTCATGATACTTCTACCAAATTTCACAAATAATATCGTTTTACAAAAATGATATAAAGATAAATCGACTTTTGAGATACCTTTGTCTATTATAGAAACTTATTATCATAAGAGAGGACCATCGAATATGTCAGATGGTGTCACAAATGGTATATAAGAATTGGAAATAAAGCTGTCGAAGATGCTGGCACAATTTGGGTTACACTGCATTTTAATTATTTTCTTACATTTGAACATATCGATAACGAAATATACAATATATCTGGTCTCTTAAAGAAAAATGACAACCATTCTAATGTTCAGTAATTTCAATTTCATATTATTTTCTCGAGGTAACTAAATACAGACAAATTCCGCTCTTCCTATAATTTCTATCACGAAAATATTTTATCCTATTTGTTAAATTTATAAACAAAAACTGGTTTTTATTGTCATTTTTCTTTAGTATCAATTTTTGGAATGTCTGGTTCCTTAGAAATCATTTTGTCTGCTTGAAGTTTTCAAAATATTCACCTAGAACATGTTTTTTTAATGTATTTTCATAGACATCTGAAGTGTGTTATCATGAAATTAAAAAAATATATAATTCACAAGATGACCCTTTGAACTTTATACAATAAATTTCATTTTTGATTGATTTAATCAACTAAATACTGAACTGTTCTTGTTTTTATTCTCTGTTTAGTTAATTTATTCATCCTTTCTACAAAAATTAGTCTTTATAATAATAAATTGCTAACATGTCATCTGATCCGAGGCTTTTCTTTGTAGTAGATACCAGTCAGTTTAAATTTGTAATTAATAAAGTTTAGGGATAATTATTATCTCTAACTAATGATCAAAACATGTATTCCAAAATTAATTAAAACTAACTCAATATATGTACGTTGTATTAAAAGTCTATTCACATATTAATAGCTTCCTTCTCTATGAAATGTTGATTATTATTTGATTTAGTGTATTCTATAAATACTGTATATATTCGGATACTAATTATTACTTTCTAAACTTAATAAATCCTACATAGAAGACAAATTAAACTATTCTGAGAATTTTCAGTTAATTAAATAAGTATAAATAAATAATTTGAATAAGTAGATGCACTATGAGGGTTCTAGCTCACTAGTACCTATCTTCATCGATAGATGGCCCACTGCATGAAACTGCAAACAAATCTACTTATATATTTAAATTATCTGCAAATTTATTAATAATTCATAAATAATTAAAGATTTACTTAACCTTGATTCAAAAATGTCAATTCTTAATAATAAAATCTTCGAGCAGTGACTGTATTTCCATGGAACGAGACATTATTTATTAAGTATCTTACTCTGACTTACCACAGCAGAATCGGAGTTGAGGTAGCGGTTGGTCGCGGAATACCCGGTCCAGGGCCGGAGTTTGCTCTCGATCCGGTCGAATTCGCGACGAAGCACGCTTGGTCGCGTCGACCACACTTTAGGTGGTGATGTCACGACCGTCAGCCTTTTGTGCCCCACGTACGGTACTAAACGATCGTATGAGTACGTCACGTGTACCTAGAAAAGAATTCCAAAAAAAGGTAGGTAGGTGTTTATGTTCAGTATTTTAGATTTATGAAACAGTGCTTCTTAAAAGTAATCTCTTCATTGCTTAAATATTGAAACATTGACTATAGGTAAAATCATTAGTTTTCATAGCCGTTAATTTTAACAGCACCATTATTTGATCATGAATATGCTGAAATGACAGTAGAAGTACCAAAGAACCAAAGCTGTAGAAGTAAAAGCACTTCTTCACCATTCTCCAAAAAAGTGATTTAACCTAAAAATATTACTTAAAAATATAACCCCAACAAGCAGAAAGTACTATAAAAGTTGTTACATGGCATATCTTGTTATATAAATATGTAAATCCTTTAATGCGTTCCAAAACTGCTATATATTAATAATACGGCCAAAAAGGACCCCGCTGTATATAACGTTTTGATTCTATAGAACTTCTATTATAGAGATATACAACTCATATACAGCAATTTTAAGTGATGAATATAAAACTCTCATATAAGTGTATATGAAGGTTTATTTATGCAACATATTTACATACGGATTTTAGTAGGTACTGCTAAAAAATAGAAATTTAATAAAGGTGAGTTATTAATATCTAATTGATCATTTATTAGGTCATCTTAATTTTTAAATATATTTATTTCAAGTGTCTCTAAAAAATTATTTTCAGCCAAAATATGATTTAAAAAAGTAGAATTATTTTTATTTTTAATATAACTTGTAATTGTCCTGAATAGAGTTTTTTTGAAAGCACGGCCCGTTTGACCAATATACAATTTTGGACAACTACTACAATTTAATTTATAATATACTCTCGATATATTATGTCCTTATTGTTTTTAATATACTTTCCAAGCGTGTTATTGGTTTTTAAGTATGATGATACATTTTCACTGGGGGTTCCTATATAGTTTTGATCTTTAATTTAATTTTGTCTACTAACTTCGAATGAAAACTATTGTTTACTGCAATTTGTTAAATGCTATTTAATTCTTCTATGAAGTTTTCTTTGGTGAGCAGAATATTAACTATTTCTATGAATCATACTGTTATTGTGCTGCTAACTTTTGTTTATATGGATGAGATAAACTATTATGTATTGTAATATCAGTATGTGATGACTTATGAAATATCCCAAAACTATGGGCTTTATTATTTTTAATATTTAAGTCTAAAAATTTATTAAATAATACTTCTCTATTTTCATAGTAAATTTAATATTAGAGTGTATAGTATTAATAAAAACTAATATATATAGTCAATATATCATCAACCTATTATGTATGCGAATAAAAGCAATGTTTACCTAAATTATTTGTGTTAATTGTATGTTCTATAGGGGACGGTTAAAAGAAAATTGGAAGAAGATTCCCAACAATGCAAGAATCAAAAATCAATAAAAGGAAAAAAGGTAAAAGAAATTGTGACAGAACCTTGCAAAGTCTGCGAATAATATTGAAAAAGATAACGAATGGTGACTCACTTGCAGTGTTGCCAGAATATATTTTTGTAATGTACCAGATTTATCTAAAAAATGTACCAGATTTCATAAAAATGTACTAGATTCTATAAAATTACCATATTTTTCTAATTATGAAGTATGGTCATTAAAGAGCCAAAAAAGGTTTGTAGAGAACACGAACACAACAATTTTAAACAATATTTTATCTCTCGACAAATTTTTGACACTATTTTATCTCTCGAGCAGTTTTTGAATAAGATTTTAATACCTTTTGATACTCTTTTACCTCTCGAACAGTTTTTAAACCTTTTTTTATTCCTCAAGCAATGTTTGTACAATTTTTAACACTAATTAATCACTCGAGCAATTTTTAACAGCCTTTTTTTTACCTTTCAAGCTATTTTTGAACAATATTTGATCTCTCGTGCAATTTTCAAGCAAAATTTTAACAATTTCTAACACTATTTTATCTCTCGAGCAATTTTTGAAAAAGAATTAATACCTTTTGATAATATTTTATCTCTCGAACAGTTTTTAAACAAATTTCTAACAGTATTTTATCTCTCGAGCAATTTTTAACAACTTTTTTTATCCCTCGGGAAATGTTTGCAAAAAATTTTTTGAACAATTTTTAACACTATTTAATCACTCGAGCAATTTTTAACAGCTTTTTTACGTTTCAAGCTATTTTTGAACAATATTTGATCTCTCGTGCAATTTTTGAGCAAAATTTTAATAATTTCTTAGACTATTTTATCTCTCGAGCAATTTTTATTAACATTTTTTATTTTTCTAACAATTTTTAAACAATGTTTTATCTCTCGAGAAATGTTTAACAGTATTTTTTAATTCTCGAGTAATTTTTGAATAAGATTTTAATAACTTAGAATACTATTTTATCTCTCGAACAATTTTGAAACCTTTTTTTATCTCTTGAGCTATAAACAGTATTTTATCTTTTAATAAATTTCTAACATTATTCTATCTCTCGAGCAATTTTTAACAACTTTTTATCTCTTTAGCAAACTGCACAATATTTTAACTCTCGACAAATTTATAAAAATATTTTAACTCTCGATAAATTTTTAACAATGTTTTATATCTCGAGCGATGTTTGTACAATATTTTATCTCTCGAGCATTTTCTAATAGTATTTTATCGTTCAAGGAATTTTTAAACAATGTTTTATCTCTCGAGAAATTTCTAATAGTAGGTATCTTTTAAGTCAATTTTAAACAATATTTTACTTCTCAACAGTATTTTATCCCTCGAGCAATATTTCAAAAAGGGTTCAACATTATGTAATACTATTTTACCTCGAGCAATTTTTGAATACGATTTTAACAATTTATAATACTATTTAATCTCTGGAAAAATTATTAAATATTTTTATCTCTAATAGTATTTTTATCCCTAGAGCAATTTTTGAACAATATTTTACCCCTCAAGCAATTTCTAATACTATTTTATACTTCGAGCAATTTTTAACACCCTTTTTTACCTCTCAAGCCATTTTTGAACAATATTTGATCTCTCGTGCAATTTTTAAACAATGTTTTATCTCTCGAGAAATGTCTACTATTTTATCTCTGAAGTAATTTTTAACAACTATTTTAATTTCTCTTGCAATGGAAACATACACTGGAAAAAGTTTTAGATATTGTTTCGAGTGTACTAGAGTACCAGATTCCCAGAGAATGTACTAGATCTAGTTCAATTGTACTAGACTGGCAATACTGGTCACTTGGGTCTGCGAAAAATCTTCACGTGCTGGAATTGAATCGAATCAACTTTATATTTGTCATTTTTGCGAAGTATAAGAATTAATTTATGTTTCTTTGTCATAGTCTAGCTTAATGTTTTGTTGTTTGCATAATAATATTGTTATTTTTCGTTATGATAAAATTTGCAAAAGTTTCAGACAGTTGGTCGTTTTTAGACGACGTGGTGGGTTTTACCCAATGATGTGGTCAATTTTATCCGCCACGTAGCTTAAAACCGACCAAAATGAACATTCCTATTTGGTTTAAATTGAAATAAAAAACAGCGTTGTTCGTAAATTTGAGATGTATTATTTCAAACGACTTTTATTACCCTATCAATCCACAAAATATGAGAAATAAAACAGCACTTGCGAAGAAGTAAAGCACATTTTCGCTTAGATGGTCGGCATTCCCCGACTTTCCCCTATTATCCAAAAATATTTCTGCAAGCAAAGGACTTAATGGTGGTGGTGTATGGTTCAGAGTGTGACGGTGAAAGAGAAAGTTGGGGTTCTGTTATTTTAAAATTTTTTAAACTGGTTGTAATCGTCCCCTTGTGTTTTTTTTTATTTTAAATTTAAACTGCATAAATTTGTCATGTCTATAAAATGCAAAATACAATCCCATTCATTACACTAAAATTTCATAATTATTCGCTACCCTGTATGTATCTGAAGTAATGCAATTCCTTACTACGGTCCTTGCTAAATATCAATGTCATCATTTTCAGTGGTTTACTTTGCTACAGTTTGGTTTCGTACTCGCATTAAATATAGGTTTTTTTTTAATCTACTTACGATTTCTTGAAGTGCTCAAACATTGTAAGAGAAAATTATTGTAAGAAATATGACGACGACGACAAGGTTGGTGTGTAATATGTAAGACTTTATTTATGGGCTATTTTGATAGAACCCATTGAGATAACTTGTTGATGTTAACGAATATATGCTTAGGATATGTATTGATTGGTAACTGAACCAAAAACGAACTGTACTGTCTGATACTATAATACAATATTTACTTTTAAAATATAATCGTATAGACCAGAGCATACTGGCGCATTCGTTTGCAAAATTGTTTTAATTCGTAATTTTTTTTTAATGTCCGGAAGTCTTTCCTGATTATAAAAGTGTAAGATGACATTCGATATATGTTGATCTTATTGTTTAAACAACGAAAAATTAATTAAGCCAGAAAAAATGCATTTTTTGCAATGAATTAATTTTTTTTATATTCTTTAGGATATTTCGAATAAAAAAAGTCCTTACACCCATCATCGTATTTTCAACCCTTTAATTGTTATGAATGTTTTAAAATTCGAAATTGACGAAAATTCTAATTTTCTTGAATTAAATAATATACCTTAAAATTTAAAATGCTATAATTTTAAATTTTTTACCGAATATTCAAACTATAATAAACAAAATAACCTAAATAAATTTTCAAAATGTTGTTCGTTGTTATGTTTTTGTTACGTTATAACAATATGCTTCCTACGCGCGTGTACTTTTAGAGAGAAGTACTTCTATCTCACTTCCAACTCAATGTATAAGATGGGTAAGAGAAAGCCCGATGACGCACTAAATCAATTTTTTGCTGTTTTTCAGCGGTAATAAGTTTAAAAAAATTATTATTAACATTTTTCATAACACTTTGTTATATTTGCCGATTAATAGTTTTGTATCATGTGATTTTTACAAATGATACATAAATTTCGAAAATTACCAGGATTTTCAGTAGATCTTTTTGATTGTCGGAGAACTGAT